ACAAAAGGACAGTGTTTGAGCTAATGTACAAGGGGGGGGGAAGTTCGGGGAAGAAGGTGAAAAAGAGGAGGAGGAAGAAGGGAAGAAGGGAGGAGGAAGAAGGGGAAGAGGGAGGAGGAAGAAGGGGAAGAAGGGGAGGAGGAAGAAGGGAAGAGGAGGAGGAAGGTGGGGAAGAAGGGGAGGAGGGAAGAAGGGGGAAGAGGAGGAGGAAGAAGGGGAAGAAGGGGAGGAGGAAGAAGGGGGAAGAATGTGAGGGAGGAAGAAGGAGTAAAGGAGGAAGAAGCGAAAGTAAGATAAGGAGGTTTGTAGGAGATGGAAACGAGGGACAGAAACAACAAGAGAGGGGAGGGAGGGAGAGAGGGAGAGGGAGGGAGGGAGGGAGGGTGGTGGAGAGAGAGGGAGAGGAAGAGAGGGAGGGAGGGGAGGGAGAGAGGGAGGGAGGGAGGGGAGGGAGGGGAGGGAGGGAGGGAGGGGAGAGGGAGGAGAGAGAGGGGGAGGGAGGGAGGGAAGGAGAGGAGAGGGTGAGGGAGGGAGGGAGGAGGGAGGGAGGGAGGGAGGGAGGGAGGGAGAGAGGGAGGAGGGAGGGGGAGGGGAGGGGAGGGAGGGAGGGAGGGAGGGAGGGAGGGAGAGAGAGAGGGAGGAAAGGGAGAGGGGAGGGGAGGGAGGGAGGGAGGAGGGAGGAGGGAGGGAGGGAGGGAGGGAGGGAGGGAGGAGGAGGGAGGAGGGAGAGAGAGGGAGGGAGGGAGGGAGGGAGGGAGGGAGGGGGGGAGGGAGGGATGAACCAAGCAGTGACCTCCCCCAGCCGTAAGGTCACTCCCCTCCCGCCACGTACTCACACAGCCAGAACAAGATCTCTGGAACAAAGCAACCTTAAATGAGCCGAAATAGTTGAACAACTCTCACATACAGACAACGACCCAGGAGAGTTCTGGCGTCGAGTTAAGAGATTGAAAGGTTGCAGCCGTAACAAGTCATCATATATAACTGACCTAACAGGAAGTAAAATATATGACGACCAAGACAAAGAACCCATATTGAGGGACATATGGAGGAACACCCTGGCCAGCCGAGTGGTAAAAGATAGAACAATCAGAGCAAGAACTCCTTCAAAGACTCCCACCAGACAACGACAACAACCATACATGGTTCCCAAAATGTTACCAAATCTCAAAAGGTCCATTACCACCCCCGATCTACACGGCCAGGAAATAGACATCCTCCCTAGACCAGCATCCGCCAGTAGGGTCGGCGGAATATGAAAGAAGGCCCTTAAAACACCCATATATGGGATAGGGTAGGCTGTCTAGTGCCTGTGTCGACAGACAATAACTAACCCATGACACAACCCAGACACACTATTAGCTGAGCTAACCTACAGCAGGACGGTCAGCCCACCCTTGCCTACCTACCTCCTAAATTTCTTCAATTTCCAAACTATAACTTCCTTCCCCCACCTCTAATCTTCTTTCATCCTTCCTTCCTCTACCAAAAAAAAAAAAGTGGGGGAAAATTAAGAGGGAGACACAGGTTAAGGTTAGGGGACGTGGGTGAGGAAGACATGCTGGGAGTTGAGGAAGTTTGAGCCAGAGGGACGCGGTAGACACTGGTTCGAGGAGGTGACGTCTGATCGTTAGGAATGGGTAACGAAATAATAATATACAATACCAGCTGAGTTACTCGGTTTCGCCAGGGTGGAGAGGCAGGAGATAGTGCACGACCCTCTCCTTATCCCCCCGCACCTTCCCACCAAATTTTATCTCTATCTTAAAACCTGTGGAAAAATTATAAGGAACATAAATGATAATAATGATTGCCCTTTGTGTTCGAGTATGGCCGCCCTAGGGCCACCTAGGCGTTAATTTGTTTAAGATGTGGAAGCTGTCGCCAACAGAACGACCACACCCATGTTAACGAGCTGTGTGACCCAGTGACTAGGAATGGTCCAAGAAGACCGGACAACTCGCCAACTGCATTGGACCGCGATCGGCAATTTGATTAACAACCAGGTTCCCAATTACTGCTGGGTAGATAGTGGTGTAAAGAAGCTTGCCCATAGTTTCATCCTGCCCGGGAATCGAACTCGGGTTAACTCGCTTGCGAGTCAAGCATGCTGACCGTCACACCACAGGAACATACAGACAAACATACGAAGAGACAAAGTATTATATAAATATTCCCGATATACTTTCATAATTAACCTACAACACTAGTTCAGAGGCCACGTAATCTGCATACACCGATATTTACATAATTAAGGCTTAGTACACACACACACACACACACACACACACCTCATCACAACAAAGTGTTAACACGTGTGGGGGCGGGCAAGGCTCCACCACACTTGAGGTTTAAGTGCCTCACTAAACTTGTCCGTCACGCTTCAGAATTCATGAAATCATTGAAAGTTTATGTGTTTATTGTCTTTTACAGGTGTTATGGTGGTGACACACGGCTGTTGTTAATATTTACAGCTGTGTTTACCAGGTATTAGCTGTTATGTCGGCTTATGGAGTAATAAACGTGTGTGTGTGTGTGTGTAGGTGTGTGTGTGTGTGTGTGTGTGTGTGTGTGTGTGTGTGTGTGTGTGTGTGTAGGTGTGTGTGTGTAGGTGTGTGTGTGTGTGTGTGTGTGTGTGTAGGTGTGTGTGTGTGTGTGTAGGTGTGTGTGTGTGTGTGTAGGTGTGTGTGTGTAGGTGTGTGTGTGTGTGTGTGTGTAGGTGTGTGTGTGTGTGTGTGTGTGTATGTAGGTGTGTGTGTGTAGGTGTGTGTATGCAGGAGTGTGTGTGTGTGTGTGTGTAGGGGTGTGTGTGTGTGTGTGTGTGTGTGTGTGTGTGTGTGTGTGTAGGTGTGTGTGTGTGTCGGTGTGTGTGTGTCGGTGTGTGTGTGTGTGGTGTGTGTGTGTGTGTGTGTGTGTGTGTGTGTGTGTGTGTGTGTAGGTGTGTGTGTGTGTGTGTAGGTGTGTGTGTGTCGGTGTGTGTGTGTGTGTGTAGGTGTGTGTGTGTGTGTAGGTGTGTGTGTGTGTGTGTAGGTGTGTGTGTGTAGGTGTGTGTGTGTGATAAAACCAACAATAACTCAGGATAATTACTCTAAAGTGTCTGTACTAAACGTTACCATCTTATAAACATGAAGGTTATCACTATTTACATCCTGGTGAGGAAATATCTTACACGAAGACTTATAATCTTAACTACCTCTTCATAACACTTTATAACTCTTAAAAGCTGTAATATACGTCGCTTAAGTATTATAGATATAGACAACAAGGCTATTAAACAGGAGTTATATATCACCTGTACTAGACTTACAGTAAAAGAATATTACATGCTGGTCACTAATAAACAAAATCTTCCATTCTATCATAAATATAGACTATTATCTTACATGAACAACAAAACTTTATGGACTCTTATCTAAAACTGACGAAGGTATTAGAACTCGGTAGGAAGTAACTGGTAGCCGAGACCTTGTTGATAATCGTGTCTTTTAATTGGAGAAGAACCTACCTACGACACACCTTTCCCCGTGTGTGTGGTCTGTGCTCTCAAAAGCTCTTACTGGACACGACGAGGAAGTACAAGTGTCTACAATACTTCAGTTAAGATGGGTTCTCTAATGTGTGCGTAGCGTGATGTAAGTACGACTGACTTTACTCCCGTTGTAGGTGACCGTATTCTCCCCCTCCCTCAGTAGCTCGTGGTCTGATGGGGCTCACACCTAACACAGTCAACGCTTATGAATTCAGTCAGTGAGAGCAGAGGTTACTAGCGTGGATAGCTACGTAGGAACACACAAAAAAAGAGAAGATAAAGTTACCGTATCCGAAACCCCGCCAAAAAATTAAAAAACATTACTCGGTTCTTTTATCACAAACGTCGTAGAATAAACGAAACGAAGCTCACTTACAGTTTTAATTAGCTAAAAGGGACGCTATGGTAACTCAGGAGGCTGTTTCTCCATTATTCACCTCCAGAGTGTCTGTATCAAGGGTGAACCAGACCAACATAAAACACAAACACAGCGTCACACAGAATCTATGAACGTTTATATAATTGTTCACTTACCGTAACACTCCCCCAGTTGTCAAGGGTGAGCCTCATCCTCCAGATTGTAAGGCCGTTGAGTCTCCAATAGCGAGTTTTGAGGTGGACCTTGAGGCTGGAGTAGGTACACAGGTAGTTAAAACACTTATCACTTACAAACATTTTTCTTTACACGTTCGTTGGTGACATACTTCAATTAGCGAATAGTTTACTCTTAACACTGTACCATATATACCACTGTGTGTGATTGTTGGCGTGAGGGAGAGTCACACTAAAGGAAAATATGTCTATATAACACTAATCAGTTAATATATCTGGTTAAATCACACCAATACCCACCAATCACTTCTCTATCAGTCCATATCGATATAATGTTACACTAAGAATAAACGAAATACAAAGTCATATTAATTTTCACTGCACAGAAGCACAACACCTGCCACTCACGTATACCAACACGAAGGTTCTAATTTCACCGTCAGCACAACTTCACAAGGTGTTTATAGGAAAGATTTGAAAGGTAATCCCTCGACGCGTGATGCACAGATGAAGTTTTGTTTACAACCCGCTAGATGGCTCTGCCTAGGTATGTCGTCTGATAGCTTTTATATAATGTTTGGAAGATTCAACACACCTTCAGTAGCTTATTATTCATCCAAATATATGACTGAACAAGATAATAATTGGTATCTTGAAGGATTTAGTAATAATATACGGCTGGGAATACCTGACCTCTGTAAAGGTAGTCAAACTGTGCTGGAACCTCAATAGATGGCGCTACTATTCGACATCAGGGCAGCCACTCGCCTATCTTCAGTATCTTTCCACAGACATAAACAAGATGTTACGTTAATATAATACTTCATAAGCATTTCTTCAGGGTAATAATATACAGTGTACTTAAGAATATATTCCATTCATGAATCCATAATGGTAAAAAAGATTTATACTTGATGGATTAACATGTGAGAAATTGAGAGTAATTTGAGTTAACATCTAAAGATACCAAGTCAGATATACAGGGTGTCCATAAATGATTACCCTGATTAAAACATGAGATCATACTGTTTTTAGGGTAATCATTTATGAACACCCTGTACTTATCCAGCCATACAGATTAATACAACAAAGCAATACATACTGATATTCTTAGTTCAATATTAAGCTATATTAAGGTATAAACTACAGAGAATAAAGTATACTGAAATCCTGATGACAACAATTTACAGTATAATGAATCAACTAGGACTGGTATGCTGACGGTAGTACACAGTATTATACACCGAGAAGCTCAGTAAACATCTCTAACACTCAGACACACGGCTAAAAGCATATAGGGACGTAATTAAAGTAGGTAAAGCCTTTGAATTTCAAGGTGTCTCTCTCTCTCTCTGTTGGTTTTACATTTATATCGATGTTGACTTGAAATAAAGTTTGGTTTTGTAATAAGAAGGCAGCTTGATTGTGTCAGATGGCAAGGTTGTGTCAGCTCGCAGGATTGTGTCAGATGGCAAGATTGTGTCAAATAGAAAGGTTGTCAGATGGCAAAGTTGTGTCAGCAGGTAAGGTTGTGTCAGATGGCAAGGTTGTGTCAGATGACAAGGTTGTGTCAGATGGCAAGGTTGTGTCAAATAGCAAGGTTGTGTCAGATGGCAAGGTTGTGTCAAATGGCAAGGTTGTGTCAGAGGGCACGGTTGTGTCAGATGGCAAGGTTGTGTCAGATGGCAAGGTTGTGTCAAATGGCAAGGTTGTGTCAGAGGGCACGGTTGTGTCAGATAGCAAGGTTGTGTCAAATGGCAAGGTTGTGTCAGTAGCAAAGGCAAGGTTGTGTCAGTAGGCAAGGTTGTGTCAGATGGCAAGGTTGTGTCAAATGGCAAGGTTGTGTCAGTAGGCAAGGTTGTGTCAGATGGCAAGGTTGTGTCAGCAGGTAAGGTTGAATCAAAGGGCAAGGTTGTGTCAGATGGCAAGGTTGTGTCAGATGGCAAGGTTGTGTCAGCAGGTAAGGTTGTGTCAGGTGGTAAGGTTATGTCACATGGCAAGGTTGTAGATGGTAACGTTGTCGTGGCAGATTTCATAGTTGTGTCAGACGAGGCAGCAGTGTCAGAGAGCCAGTGGGAGACGCCCTGTAGCGACGTGGCAGGTGGCAGTGGTTTAGTAAATGCCCTGGAAGTGGGTGGGAGAAACGACGGGCTTATGGGCGCGGCTGTGGGCGTACTTGTGGGCGTAGAGGATGGCGTGGGCAGGGACGTGGGTGGGCATGGGAGGCGTGGGTATCTACTGGTACTAGGAGACGACTCCCTTCTTGGCATAGGTCGCAGAGGTTGACCTGATTCGTCGAAGTGAACCATCAGGCTGAAGGTAGGAGGTCAGAGGTTATACGACAGGTAACGGAGGTCATAGGAAAGGATAGTCCAGGTCACACAGGTCATACAAGAGGATAGTCCGTGGCCCAGGTCACACACAGGTCATAAACCAGGTCATTTCACGAACCACTACAGAAAACAAACTATAAGGTGAACTAACACACAAACCCTACTGCAACACGTCAACACAAGCTGGAGATAATCTGGCAAAATACGTCATGAAACTAAGCCCTTTCCAGAGACTGATGTGTAATCCGGATAAATGCCTATTAAACGGAATTTTCCATCCGCTTAATAATCGGATTTGGTTATCATAAGACGGTCAAAGTTGTGGTATAATTTGATCAACAATGTGAGGTTAAACTGACTTGAATGTTGATATTATATATATATATATTTGTCCTCTCAGTAATTATTAACCATTTAGAATATTAAAGACTGCCTGGGATTTCATTTGAATATTGAGTGTTGTGAAGGTTAATTAGCAGGTGAGGTCTACAGGTACAGTTGCTGGAACAGGTGTGTCTTTGGTGAAGAGCATATAAACACATGATAATGATGATGATGATGATGATGATGATGATGATGATGATGATGATGATGCATAATGGTAGTGGGTGGAGGTGGTAGTAGTAGTAGTAGTGGTAGTGGTGGTGGTGATGGTAGTAGTAGTAGTAATAGTAGTGGTGGTGGTAGTGGTGGTAGCAGTAGGGGGCAGTACAGACTCACCTGGATCTGTTCCTGGTGATGTACTCATGGTAAAACTTCTCCAGCCTCAGTGACTCCTTCTCCCGGCGGATGTACTTCACCAACACGATCAGGAGAGACGTGGCGAAGAACAACAACACGAAGATGATGTATACTACCGCCATGGCCTCCTCAGACGGTTCCTGCTGTAGAAACACTATTTAACCACTTACAAAGGAGGTCCTGAAACCTATGATCCTTAACCTAACCTAACCTAACCTAACCTAACCTAACCTAACCTAACCTTAACCTAACCTAACCTAACCTAACCTTAACCTAACCTAACCTAACCTAACCTAACCTTAACCTAACCCTAACCTTAACCCAACCTCAACTCCTAACCTTAACCCAACTCAATTTAACCAAACCCAACCCCCAACCCAACCTAACCTAACCCAACCTAACTCAACCTTAACTCTAACCTAACCTAGAGTATATTTTGCCCACACGAAGGAGGAGTAATTTAATATTCCTCCTCATATTATTAGTGTTAATTTAGTATAAACATGTCAATTAAGTCACCCTCACCCCCCCCAGTGCTCGCCTAAATTAAGTTTAATTTAGAGGATCAATAAATACAACCTTGAGCTGAGTGTCATTGGCTAAATCCCCTATTAACAGTATGTCATATTATAATTAGAATTTCGTTCAATAGATGGCGCTGAGAGAGTAAATATATAGGAAAAGTTGACAACGTTGTAGACGAAAGTATCACCAGATGTCAGCCACAACTTTCACAGCTTTATGGTTGATCGTCTGTTTTTATGTTTCAGATGTAAAAAAAATGGTTTAGCTGGGCCAAGAAAAGTGTAGTAAGTAAACACAGCTTAAATATAGCTCACTTTGACAGCTATATAACTTTTCAGAGGACACGTTCTCATATATGCCTCCCCTCGGCCATCACCGTGTACAATGATTTATTTTTACATAAGAATAACACTAAAATGTCTACTGTGATTACTTCTACAATATTTGGTGACAATAACGTGTAATGAAATAAAACAAACACCCATAAGCATTTCCTCTATATCCTACAAGTCTCATTAATCTCCGGGTAAATGTGTCAGAAAAGAACGACAGGATAATAATACTCGTGCGTGTTAATGGTACAAAAAGTGAGATGAAGTGTAGAGTTTTTGCTGAAATACTGTGGGGTTATGAGTGTGCTGGCTGTGTGGCGTTCTTGCTGAGTGATTCATCTTACGGTCAGTGACCCATCAACTCCTTTATGTTAACTTTGTTTATATAATCTCTTAGGTGTACATAGTTGGTAAATGGCTGTGTAGCTGTGACTGTAATGCCATCAAAAGTATTACAGATGCTTCGTGTAAACAAGTGTGTGTGTGTATGTGTGTGTGTGTGTGTCAAGTTTAGAAGTCCTTTGGGTGTGTATAAAGAGTCCTTTGATGTTTACAACGCCTCTTGATTCTTAATCACTTGTCTTTACCAGGAACAGCCACACCGTGAAGGACAAGGGGACCATAACACCCACGAGGATAGTGTTGCTTTACGCTGTTTGGTCAATGACAACGAACTGAAACCAACCAGCAGCCCTTGATGTGTTCTTGACTGCCTCGCTACAAGACCTCGTAAACCTTAAGAGTAGATGCGCTGAGTACAGAAGATAATGGAGTGTATTACGAAGTTCTGAAGGCGTAATTTTAAGGGAATCGTCTTCACATATTACACTTAGAAGATAGTTATTCTACTTAACCTGTCAGCGAGAGTGAGAGGTGACACGGAGAACAGGACCCGGTAGGAGTTCTTGAGTCAGTTCACAGGTAATAAAGTTGAGGGACTGAGGCAATGAATTAAGAAATCAATGAAGAGTAACTATCTACCCTGCTCATCACACTGACCTTGACAGACATACGAACAAGACGGTGAAATAATAACAAATAAACATTAAGGCATTGAATTAAGATATCCCCTTAGATATTGCCAGTACAGTATGTAGAAATAATACATAATGATACAAGCGAAGACACATATATGTTTCTTTTGTTAAGTTTGCAGGTACTGAATACAGGTGTTCTAATTTATATGACGGATTTTTTTGAGTAATTAAATGTTATTCTAGATAAACAAAAACATACAAATACAGGTATGTCATGATTTGTATAGGGGACGATTTTGAGTAGTACTATTTTTATTCCAGATACAACTGTACAAATACCGGTGTGTTCTAATTTGCATGAGAAATATTTTAAAACGATATAATTTTTTTATCCCCGATAGATCAATGTGTTTCCATTGATCAAAGAGTTTTGTTATACATATTTCCAATTGGGTCAATCTTTTTTTTTAGAGCACTCCAGTGTACCGGGAGACTGGTGACCCCGTTAGCCCGGTTATCAATACAACAACAACTACAATAACTTTTGACGGGGTTAAAATACTAGTCGGAGCCGGATTTTCATAACAGTCAGAGGATAGGTTAGGTTAAGTTAGGTTAGGTTAAGTTAAGTTACGTTAAGTGTGGTTGGGTGTGAGGCTAGGTTACTTTGAGTGAGGTTAGTTTAGGTTAAATTATGTTAGATTAAGTAAGGCTAGTTTAACTTAGTTGAAGAAATATAGTAAATAATGAATGACAGGAAGGTGATGTCGCTTGAAGTGGACAAATATTTACACAAGGAGATGTTCTGTATCATAACACATAACTCTTCCCTTTGTTTACACTCGATCAGCTGTGGCCGCCTCATACAACTTCACAAACCGAAGACAAAAGCGTTCAGAAAAATACCAATGTTTAGAAATTCTTAAAAATACCAAAGCTTAAAAATTCTTGAAGTCTTGAAATATCAAAATCCTAGAATTCTTAGCATAACAAAAACTTTACTTTCTTGATATAACAAATTCCTGATATTTTGAATGTACTAAAATTCAGGACTTTCATTAAAATACGAAAATAATGAAGTTTCTTAAAATCCCAAACCTTCTTACAGTCATTTCAGTTCAGACAATATAACATTATTTAAGTTCAATTTACATAAGACATATTATTATCTTTATCGTCTATTACAATATAATATTTTTTCGATGTTTCTGAAGGACTAGGACTTATAGATGAAAATAGATATAACTTGTGCTTAAAAACTAGAATTAAAAAGGTGGGGAAAACTAGGATTATTATTCTCCACAATCTCTCAATGAACTAAATTTCAACAGGTAACTAAAATACAACAATAGTCTTGTAGATTAATTAATAACAAAGGTGAAAAAATCTACGAAAATTTCTGGAATAAATTTAAAAAAAATACAACTACTTCCTAAAAATCAATAAAAAGAACTTAAGATCCCTAAAATTGGTCAACATGTTAATTGTTTCTTAATTAGATGAAGACAGGTAAGTAGCATTATTAATACAGGTGTTTCTTAGAGGATCCCGTACTAACACTAATTATTTTCTTATTGATCTTATGTTATTATCACCTAAACATCATTAAAGGTATTTTACTTTATATAAGACAGTCTCACCCTCGATTCGTTATTAGTGGTGTCTCGTTATTAGTGGTGTCTCGGTATTAGTATCTCGTTATTAGTGGTGTCTCGTTATTAGTGGTGTCTCGGTATTAGTATCTCGTTATTAGTGATGTCTCGTTATTAGTGGTGTCTCGTTATTAGTAGTGCCTCGTTATTAGTGGTGTCTCGTTATTAGTGGTGTCTCGGTATTAGCGTCTCGTTATTAGTAGTGCCTCGTTATTAGTGGTGTCTCGGTATTATCGGTGTCTCGTTATTAGTGTCTCGTTATTAGTGTCTCGTTATTAGTAGTGTCTCGTAGTTAGTGTGGTGTCTCGTTACTATAGTGCCTCAGTGTGTTATTAAAGGTGTTCTGGCTGTAAGCTGCATGAATAAGCCAAAGAGGATAGTTACTTATTCATTCTCTGTTAATTAGAGCGAGTGATGAGTGTATGAGGCTGAATCATCCTAGTCCAAAGTTAACAGCGGATGATAAATTAGTGGCGATACTGACAACATTTTTCTACATACAAATAATATCATACTTAACTACACATAACAGCAGTGATATATTGTGCGTGTTATGGTGCTATACAGAACAATACAGACGCGACATGGTACAGTGCACACATACACACCATCAGTAACATAGCATGATATGAAACAACATTACTGACTGAATGTTTGGGTGGGATTTAAAGCCTGACAGTCTGTAGAGTAATGAAGTTGTGTATTATTGTAGTGTGTGTGTGTGTGTGTGTGTGTGTGTGTGGAATTAATGACAAAATCCCCGCCCCCCACACACACACATACATACACCAATTACATTAATCTTACTCAAAGTTAGTTAATTCCTAGTATCAGGTTAATGAACTCTGAGGATATTAACAGAAGTTGAGACTCGGATAACAAATATTCCTCAGTAACACAAGTCTGATACTGACAAGGTGTGCACAAACAAATAAACAAATAAACGAGAACAAAAACACAAATAAACGAAAAAAAAAGGACAATAACAAGAATAAGTTATAAGGGTGAAAAAAAAAATAGTGGAAATTTTCATATATTTGTGGGAAAAAAAAATACATTCCATAACTATTAAAAGGAGGAGATGAAAGACGACAGGAAACACCAATAGACGATTCAGGTGACCACAACTCCTCATTATCATTAGTGGGAGCCTCAGAGTGTCACGAATATCCCTATACGAAGGTTTGATTCTCCACACTGTCAAGGTTTACACAGGGGATAGCAGAGGGGTTGCCAGCTAGTAACTTCCTGTCCGGTGAAGTGTAAACAAGAGAGCCACGTGGAGTAAACAGAACCTCACGTGGTTTATAGCATTACCTGAGCTCACCTGACACTCAATTAATACCTTGGTCGTGAGAAACATTAAATATTTGGTTGTGATTTTGAGGAGTTAGACCGAGATTGTTTTGATATATATGACCTTAATTGTTTGTAATTCTTAAATGATTGTGTGTTATGAGTGTAAAGAACATTCATTATAACGGTAATCGTTTTATAGAGTTCACCTGACTTATCTCACCTGATCACTGCCCTAACGCTAACCTGGTTGGGGGGGTTAGGTTAGGTTACATTAGGTTTGGTTAAGTTTGGTTAAGTTATGTTATATTAAGTTAGATTATGTTACGTTATGTTAAATTAGGTTATGTTTTGTCAGCGTTAGTGTAGTTAATGTTAAAGTGAAATAATCTGGGGTTTCTAATCTTCAGGTGATCTCTTTATTATTTTCCAAGACTCGACCAGCAGAGGGGATCATTAACTCACAAGTCTTCCTACACCAGGGCGTGAGTGGCAGACAACTTACCCATGAAAGGTAACGCAGAAGCTCATTTGAGGAAGGTAAACAGAAGATCTAGTCACATTAACTTACCTTTGATCTTTGACCTTTAATCTTTAGGGTCATGTAAGGTCATGTATATTCATCCCCCTACTGCCTTGGCTGGTGAGAAGTGAAAGGAAAAATAAAATCAGCTCCAGAGGGACATACGTGCGATGGAGAATATGACCAATAAATTCTCTCTTAACGTCTACCCAGAGAGGAATGAAAATGAAAGATGTCTTCAAGATTACAATTTTTCAATCTTTTTTTCCTCTATTTCCTCCATCTGTTTTCCTCTGTTGTCTTTCTTATTCATTTTCCACAATATTTTTTGGCTAATTTAATTGTTGATTTTTCTGTCTTTTATGTCATTCAGGAAATATTAAAAAGACTCAATATGTTAGTTATTAGTTCAAGTGAAAAAAAAAAATATTTCTTCCCACCCCCCCAAAAAAAAATCAATGGACTTCCACCTTACAATTTTAACCAAACATGTTAAACTTTTCGTGTCTTTCAAATTACCACTATACATAGTCTCCAGCCACCTCTAGAGTGCGTTAAAATATTATAATGATGATGATAAGTTGTGCTAATGAATCTGAGTCCTCCAACACTAATTACTCATCACTAATTACTCATCACTAATTACTCGTTCCTTGGTTGTGGACAAATAAGGCTTACCTTTTCTCTTGCGTTGGTGGTGTTCGCTGCCTTCACCGGGAGTCTTAACTCTCCTTGAATCTCTGAGCCTTTACCTCCACACCAAGCCTGGAAGACACACACACGTCAGGTTAATCTAGGGAGGAGCAGGTGTGTGGGTAGGTGTGTGCGTGTGTGTGTGGGAAGGTGTGTGGGAAGGTGTGATGGCAGGCGTGTGTGTGGGGGAGGCAGGTGTGTGTGTGTGTGTGGGAAGTTGTGTGGGAAGGTGTGATGGCAGGCGTGTGTGTGGGGGCAGTGTGTGTGTGTGTGTGGGGAAGGTGTGTGGGAAGGTGTGATGGCAGGCGTGTGTGTGGGGGCAGGTGTGTGTGTGTGTGTGGGGAAGGTGTGTGGAAGGTGTGATGGCAGTGTGTGTGTGGGGGGGGCAGGTGTGTGTGTGTGTGGGAAGTTGTGTCGGAAGGTGTGATGGCAGGCGTGTGTGTGGGGGGCAGGTGTGTGTGTGTGTGGGAAGTTGTGTCGGAAGGTGTGATGGCAGGTGTGTGTGTGAGGGGGTCAGGGGCAGGTGTGTGTGTGTGTGTTGTGGACAGGTGCGAGTACAGGCGTGGGTAAAGACAATTAAGAACAGATATAATATGAGTCAACAGAAACATACCTTAAAGAGTTCCAAAACTAATTCTTTAATATTCGAGCCATCGTCAGGAGTGAGATGTTGTTCGTCAGGAAAGTGTTGGGCCGGCAGGTGTTTGCTGGAGGTGTTTACAATCATTATGGTTGTCCAGATGTAAACAAACACACACACACAAGAGAGCTGAATGTCCTGGAAGAAAGAAAAGTTGAAATTATTACCATTTTCCTTTATTTTTTTTCGCCTGAGGAAAAGTTAAAATATTATTGAAGTTACAAAAGCCTTTAAGAGTTTAAATAAAAAAGGCTTTTAATAGGACCAATTGATCTATTGCATATTAAATATAGCTTTAAGGTACGATGGTGGAATTTAATTATTAGGGGGGGGGGGAGGTGGCCTCACTGCCTCAGGGCACACACGAGTTTACAGGGCCAAACTGCAGGTAGGGTTAGGTTAGGTTAGGTTTGGTAAGAAAAAGAAGAACAAGTACAAGAAAAACAACAACAACAACATTAACAATAACAACAACAAGAAACCAAGATAAAATTAAGGATAATTGAAGAAGAAGAAAAAGAAGAAGAAGAAGAAGAAGAAGAAGACAGTCACCATAATTTAACTGCAGAATTAAATCCGCCTCAAGACGCGGCTCACACTCGCTATATGAACACAACCCGGAGTTAGGCCGCGTCGGTGAAATTAATTTATGCCAAATAATGAACATTCCCTTGACACCACTGATACCACTGACACTCTCCTGACACCAATGACACGCCCTCACACCGCTAGCTCTCCCCTGACACCACCAGCACTCCCTCACACCACTGACACTCCCTCACACCGCTAGCACTCCCCTGACACCACTGACACTCCCTCACACCGCTAGCACTCCCTGACACCACTGACACCCCCTGACACCACTAGCCCTCTAACCTAATTCCAGTTGGCTATTGGTCCATCATTCGCTTTCTGTGATTAAAAACTCATCTTGGAGAGGGGCAGATAGAGTAGGGTGAGGGATGTAGGGTGAGGGTGTAGGGTGAGGGTGTGGTGATGTAGGGTGAGGGGTGGGGTGAAGGGTGTAGAGTGAGGATGGGGTGAGGGGATGTGGGGAAGGGTGTAGGGTGTGGGGTGAGGGTGGGTGAGGGTGTAGGGTGAGGAGGGTGGGGTGTAGGGTGAGGGGTGGGGTGAGGGTGTAGGGGTGAGGGTGTGGGGTGTAGGGTGTGTGGGGTGAGGGGTGTGGGGTGAGGGTGTGGGGTGAGGGTGTGGGGTGGGGTGAGGGTGAGGGGTGTAGGGGTGTAGGGTGAGGGATGTGGGGTGGGGATGTAGGGGTGAGGGTGTGGGGTGAGGGTGAGGGTGTGTGGGGTGACAGATGTGGGGTGGGGATGTGGGGTCAGGGGTGTGGGATGAGGGTGTAGGGGTGAGGTGTGGGGTGAGGTGTGGGGTGAGGGTGGGGTGAGGGTGTGGGGTGAGGGGTGTGGGAGGGGGGGTGAGGGTGGGGGTGAGGGTGTGTGGGATGGGGGTGAGGGGTGTAGGGGTGAGGGTGTGATGTGGGGTGAGGGATGTATGGGGTGATGGGGTGGTGTAGGTGGGGGTGGGGGTGGGGTGAGGGTGTAGGGTGAGGGGTAGGGGTGTAGGGGTGTGGGGTGAGGGTGTAGGGTGGGGATGTAGGGTGAGGGTGTAGGGTGAGGGAAGTAGAGTGAAGGAAGTAGTAATAGGATAAGGGGTATAGGTTGTAGGATGCTGCCCTCCATCTACCCTATTGGGCCAAATTGAGTGAGGAAGCACAAGGGAGGAGGAGGAGGAGGGGGAGGGGCATGGTGAGGCAGGTCTACAGTAAGGGTCGGCTCCCATAATATATATATATCTTGCTATAATAAATAATAGTTTCCTTCTCTCTATCTCTTCCTCCTTCCTGCTGGTGGCTGAGAGTAGTGGTGAGGGTGGGGAGGGGGGGGGGTGGGGGGTGGGGGTGGTGGAAGTGGCAGAAAATGGGTGGTTGGAAGGGGAATGAATGGACGATCGGTACAATATGTAAGTTAAGAGCCACAAGATATTTTTTATAATGATGGTTTTAGGGCCACTTTCCTACACACACACACACACACACACACACACACACACACACACACACACACACACACACACACACACACACACACACCATCTACAGGGGGTTAAAACAGCCTATCATAGAAGAGTAAATCTATCATATTTAAGGAGCTAATTTAAGCTGTCACACGTGCAATTATGCCATAACCAGGAGACATAATTATACCATTCATAATACCAAGACACCGTTTAAGTCCACAACACAGCCTTATAGAAGAGATTAAGCTATCATACTTGAGAGGATAATTCGGATGATAGGGAGAGAACGTCATTATACCTTTGGATTAAGTCATCATGTTCCCGAGTATAATTATAATGATTTGATGAGATTACGTCATTGTATACTGAAGAGTTGATAAGGTAAGTGAGGAGATGACGATGATGGAGAAGAAGAAGAAGAAGAAGAAGAAATAGAAAAAGACAAATAATTAACAAACATTCCTTCACCTCTACTCTCCTCACAGTCCATAAAACACGAATATAACTATAAATCCAAACACCAAATAACTGAAGACAGAGACATTACTCAGACATGACGAGAAACGGATGAAAAAATAGAACGAAAAATACAAACGCAAACTCCTTAAGCTCTTCTCACTTAACGTCAACATAAGCATAACAGAAAACGGTGATGGGGGAGGAGAGACTACGCTAGTTAGGGTGACAAGGCGCGGGAAGAAGAAAAATATAGTTTTGTTTATGTGTGCTGTTTTGTTTATCTTGTGGTGCTGTCAACTAGATAAGTCATTAAGTATCGTTTACCAGTCATTCTTCTAAATAAACAACACATTCTCAAAGGTTCCTACGTTAATTTATCCTCTAAACTGGTGATGTGAGAACGTATCTTACTGACTCACTAAATCTACGACACAAAGATGGATTCTCAAATGTTCCTACGTTAAATATTCCCCTGAATTTGTGATGTAAGAACGTAACACCATTTAAATTATCCTCTACCATTGTGACCAGCGAGGGGAATGTGACCAAAACACACGTCACAAGTTCTATGAGCAAGGAAACTAAAGCTGCCATGTCGTATAAACGTGAATCAACAATACCAGACCGTTGTTTGGTTTACAGTGACCATCTGCCGTTTACCTCTGACGGTGACGCTGACATTGACTCTACACGGGTTAAGATAACATTGTTCTTTGCGAGGTTCACAGTACAAGAAGGGTAGATTGCGGAGCCACTCACACAGCCAACTTGAGTACCGAAGGCATACAATATAAAATTGATTGTACAGTATGAGTCTGACTTTCACAAAGCTTTTATGAAAGTCTTATTTGATTGACTGATTGTCTGATTAACTGACTCACTGACTCACACTCTGACTAACTGACACACTAACTGACTGATACACTAAGGTCTAAACATAACTAGATCACTCCCCTGTTATCTTTTTTTAACCTAACCTAAAATAACTCAAACTCAACGAAACGAAACGAAACCAAACCTAACCTTGGGTCTATTAGTTTATTATTGTAGTACTATTGTTATTTAAGTGGCTCTCGATACGTCACTTATACACCTGTTGGTCATTCATCAAGAAATAAACACTGAGATGTCACTACTTGCATGATACACACTCAAACATGTAAACAGTTCACCCACAAATGGAGGAAAGGAGATTGAAAAGTGACATTTAGGTTGAGAGAGAGAGAGAGAGAGAGAGAGAGAGAGAGAGAGAGAGAGAGAGAGAGAGAGAGGAGAAGAAGCGAGAAGAGAGAGCAAACGTAGCTTCCTAGTCATCGAAATTCAGACTTATAAACTGAATGGCATCCTAATTTATCAAAGCTAAAACAAACTAAAAATGCTGTATCTTTACAACGAGACAAAAAAAGCTAAATTCTCTCAATCACCTTAAGTTTTATTTTGAGATTATCGAATAAACGTAACGCATTTTTTCCACGATAAAATTGCGTGGCCCAACCTGGAGTGTGTTTCGGTACCTTTATTCTACGAGTTGCAAAATCCAACATGGCCTTAATCGACCTTAGTATCCTCCCTGTGTGGTGAGTATATCTCTGTCTTCCCTGTTTGTTTCTCTCTCTCTCTCCTCCCTGTTTGTGCCTCTCTTCTCTTCCTGTTTTGATGTCTCTTCTCCCTGTTTGTCTCTCCTTCTCTGTGTCTGTCTTTCCTCCCCCTGTGTTTGTGCCTCTCCCACCCTGTGTGTCTGTTCTTTCCCCTTTGGTGTACCCCCTCCTCCCTGTGTATAAACCCTAATCTCCTCTGTATATGTAGACCATAAGGTTCATCCTTGTGTGGTGACAGGGTAACACCCCCCCCCTTCTCTCTCTTTCTCTCTCTTTCTCTCTCTCTCTCTCTCTCTCTCATGTGCATCTTGCCTCCCGTGTGTGGTCTGTATCTCTCTTCGGTCTCTCTCTCTCTCTCCCTCCCCTCGTTTGTGTGTGTGGCTAAACACTGTACGCTCCCCTGCTTGTTGACGCCCACTAACACACACACGCCCACTAACACACACACACACACACACACACACACATACACACCTTTCATGTTGTTTTTGCAACATATGCCAAACCGGATCCATGTCCTTGTGTTTGTATTTTTACTTAGAGCTATGATTGGTTTGAAGGTAGGGTGGAGAGAGAGAGAGAGAGAGAGAGAGACCTACCAAGTCACCTTATCTCAAAATCGAATCATGGTTTTCCATTAATTCGCAAAACGTGAATTATTTCTTAGAATTTATATCAAATAAATCGTTAGTGTAATAATGCCTGAAATTAATACGTATATGAAGTTTGTCTTTTTTCTCCTGTACAGTTAATTATTAAGTTGAGTCTTCATACTATGGCTAATTTAATTCCTTTAATTAGAAACGAAGTTATTATTATCATTATTATTATTATTATTATTATTATTATTATTATTATTATTATTATTATTATTATTATTATTATTATTATTATTTTTATCCCACTTTCCATTTCTTTCCTTCCTCTCCATCGCCTTTCCCGTTCCCTTCCCCCTCTTATCCTACTCCTCCCCTCTCTATAAAAATTATCCTTAACCACCAATCTATTTGCACGATAAAATCTTAGTATTTTTATTATTACTAAAAAAATCATTCACCTCAAAACACAAACATTCAAAGCTATAAAAGTCATGACAAACACAAGACCGAAATAACTGAATGAAATATGTAGAAACTAGTGTTACAATTTTTTTTGGGCGGACAAGGATCGAGTGGACCAGGGAGCTACGATGACCTATAAGAGACTGACTGTATATAGCCTGTGTGGGAGTTATATATATCCCTCTTACACAGCGTACACGACGACCCCCCCAGCTGATGTTGTGGGAGTAAGGGGACAAAGATTACTACTACTACTACTACTACTACTACTACGATTACTGCTATAACTACTATCATGGCTACTACTGCTACTATTACTGCCACACTGCACAAAACCTCGCGAGCCCCTGTAAACGCACTAGTGAAGGGGACTGTACATATGAAACCACAACCATTACCAACACCGTCACCCCTATTACTACCACAACCATCACCATTATTTCTACCATCACCATTATTACTACCACTACTACCACCACCACAAAGAACATCAACACCCCTACCATCACCCCCTACCAGCACAATCACCACTCCCTACCACCCCCTACCACCACCACCAACCCCCCTACCACCACAATCTACACCCCCAACCACCACCAACTCACATATCTAGACACACAAAAATCAGATCCATTTTTACAGATTAGGAGCAACGTAGCCAACAAATGTTTATAAATAGTTCACCCTTTAGTTTTGTTTAAAGCTGCTGCCACACTGCTAACGTAACGGTGAATAAAGGAGGAGGAAGAGGAAGGAGGAGGAGGAGGAAGAGGAGGAGGAGGAGGAAGAGGAAGGAGGAGGAGGGGGAGGAAGAGGAGGAGGACGAAGGAGGAAGAAGGAGGAGGAGTAAGGGATGAAGAAGAAGAAGAAGAAGAAGAAGAGGAAGAAGAAGAAGAAGAAGAAGAAGAAATATAAAATTCTTCAAGTAAATCTAAACTGTAGGATTCCTCTTTAACTAATAAATGAAATTAATTTATTTTCTCAATAATAATAAACCTTTCATATAATAAATCTTTTAATTAAACGTTTTTCTCTCTAATAAATAACAATAAACTCAACTCAAAGGTGAATTATATAACGAGACGCAGATCATAAATTCCAATATACGAAGTGAAAAAATTATGTGTGTTGGGTATAATTATGCTGAGCCTCTTTAGTACCATTACATGAAGGGTATAATTATCATGTTAGTTGTCTCTTGGGGTATAATTATCATGGTGTCGTCGGGAAGAAAACACTATTATCGTCTAATGAAAATTACCACAGAAGGTGATTGGTGTAATGGCACGAGGTAGAATGAGGATGTTTTTTTTTTGTGTTGGTACAGAGTGTAATGAGTAGTGTGATAAGAAGAAGAGAATTTATAATACCTGTGTGGATACCTGGTTAATTGTGTGTCTCCGCCTCTCCTGTCATCACCAATACCTGCTCCTCCATCATTCTCAACACAGCTTGTCCACTCTCTCTGTCTCTCTGTCTCTTTCTGTACTTTTTTCTTATGTATTTAAGAGTTTCTACACACACACATGTTTGAGCAATTCAACACCAGGTTAATCCTTGTGTTATATCTTTATGAGACGAATTAGTTTATCAGGAGTCAGTGAGTTCTTAGTTCAACTTCTCTTGTATGTCTTTTCAGCTAAGGCACTGCTGTTATTAATAGTTTCTGCATAAAAGCACTTAAGTTTGTCTCTAAAACTTGTACATACTCTTACGGTTATAATTAATTTTCTTTTCTCGTCATAATAGTTTCAATACTGTCGACACACTCCGTTTTCTGTGTGTTGTAATGGTTCTCCCAACGTCCAGCCGACCACTGAGCTGGGCCGACCTGGGTGGTGGTAGTGCCGGCCCTGGCTCCCCGGGTTGTTGACTTAACTAAGTATATGCTGTTCCCGCTGCCGCCGTTTACCCGCCCCGACGCACAAGTAAACCTGTCATTAGTTATGGTCATAGGCGCGTGGGTGGCTGCCTCCCTGCCTGCCCTCATACCTCCACTGAGTCAGGCAGCAGGAAATGTTTGTAGGAGTAACGAGGAAATGGTCTATTGGATGACGAGAGTTGTTTGGGTAGGGGAGATTGTTATCATGTTACCCCCCTCCCCTCCCCTCGTCCGTGTGTCTGTTTGTGTTGGCTCGAAATGGATAAACATGACGTATTATTTATAACTAGTGTGATCTGAACGACACCTGTTACGTTGCTGATCATAGTTCAAGGTGACTGTCGCTAATAAAGACAAACTTCTAACACAAAAATAAAGATTCATATGTTTTGGGGGCACTCATAGGTCAAGGGTCAGGGTCATTATCCCCCACCCCTCCCCCGCAAAAAACAAAAAAATAACAGCAACAATGAATTCTGAAGGAAGAACTTGGAAATATGAATAATCTTAAATTTTTTGGACGGGTTTGCCTTGAAACTCACTAACCATCATCATTCCTCTCCTACCATTATCTCCCTCTCTCTTCCCTGCTCTCCTCTATCTATATCTCTCATCCTTGTTCTCCCCTACCATTATCTCACTCTCTCTTCCCTGCTCTCCTCTATCTTTATCTCTTGTTCTCCCCCATTCGTCTCTCTCCCCTCTCAGCCTTGCTCACCCAGTACACGAGACAATCATCCATCCCCTTAACCTCGCTCTTCAGGTTATACAAGTACACTCTCACCACCCTTACCTCTCTCCTCTTGACGCAATCCAGAAGTCTACTTTTTATCGATAATATTGGTATTTACTCTCTTCCTTCCTCATTATTCCATTCTATTTCATCTAATTTTTCTTTATATAGTACTCAAGTCCTTCTTACCCCTTGAGTACGATGTCAGCCTCCTGAGTCCAATGGATTAGGTGGTCTATAGTAAGATATCTGAGCACTTGAGTAAGATGGCTTGATCCTTATCCGTGGACCCTCTAGATACACTCTGCTGGGCCCTGGAGTTCTGTAGTTCGATAGTTGTGAAAATGTTCGAATGTCTGGAATCAATTTTTTTTCACAACACCACCTGTACAAACATCCACCACTGATTTTTGTTTTTCAGTCTTCGTAACAGTAGAACTCCTTCACTTCTCTACACGTAACCACTAGTAAGTATCTGTGTGCCCCACTCAAGCTACACTGAAACCGTTACTGACGAATAGAATGAAGAACGAGAGAATATTAAATCTCGTGTCTTGGAATCTACAGTACAGTGTCTTTCCTGTAGATATAATCCTAAATTGGTTACTGACACTGTTCTTCCAGATGTGAAACTCGACCAACAGATGGCGTAAGGAAGCACGTCAAATATTAGTGAATATTTTAAGTGATACGATAAAAAAAAAAAAAATGTCGCCATATTGAGTTTGGAGAGGGACCCTTTTCATCGTTGCTGCCATCTGTTGGTCAAGTTTTATAGCAAGAAGCTAGAGGCCTTATTGTTTATCCGTTTCACTGTCAGAGATGGTTTAGTACCTGGCAGTGAGGCGGCGCTGTTGTAGTGTTCTCTCTCTCTCTCTCTCTCTCTCTCTCTCTCTCTCTCTCTGCATTAATCATTTATTTCCTATACGTATTGATTTTTGTCTGTACATTTGTTAATATTTACCTCTTGTCTATCGGTTTTCTTTTCTATCTCTCTATTCATTCCTCCCTTTCTCTTCCTCTTCACTTTGTGTGTCTGTCAATCGTTTCTTCTTTATCCCCTTCTCCCCCTCCTTCATTTTTCTTTCTCCCTTTCTGTACTCGTCCCTCTATCCTTCTACCTTCCTCCCCCTCTCTGTCTCACTTTCTCCATTTCTCCATTTCTCCCCTCCTCCTTCTCTTTCTCTCACTCCCTCATCCGTAACGCCACTTCCCCATCATCCGCCTCTTGAGAAAGGGAGAAAAAAGCTCTGGCCGGGAGAGGGACTTGTTCCATTGACCCTCTCAACTTACCTTGGAAAAAAAGTCATTTATCGACCCTCACTGCTCAGGCTGCACCAAAACTACATTAATTTATTGTACCAGGATTCAATGTCATCTTACTGGAAGCCTCGACGATTGTATATATTTTTTTTAAGAGTTATAAGCAGTTATTATCTTAGTATTATATATGGAAGTTATAAATATCATCTCAGTATAATAGTTCTTAAGTTATCTGGAAGGTAAGTTGTACCTTATTTATAGCTGAATGTTGATATTTTGGAAAATTTTACCTTAAAAACTTTCCATTATACTACTACTACTACTTTTTTTTTAACGTGGCCTCCAGCCTCCCCCAATAGCCACACCTTCGCCACCATTTAATTATCTAAATATTAAATATCCTCATACATAAGTAGCTATCCTATCTGTGTTAAATTAGTTGAGCCGCAGATCTATGCGGCATTCAGTGACAGTAGCCTCATAGTCAATATCTGCAGCAGTTGTCGGAGTTGGGGCAGAAGCTCTCGTTCCCCTGAGGCAGAGCAAAGCCGACCGAAGGAGAGAGAAAGACAGTCGACATCTCATCCAGGCTGTAACATAACTTCTGGGCTGCTGCTTTTGTTCGGAGATCACCTCTGCGAGTCTGGCGTAGAAACATCTTGCACTTGGTCCCATCCCACCAGAGGTTGTGAACACTAGAGGAGTGAAGCTGCCTTGAACAACGTTTTGAATTCTCTCCCCATATGCCCTTCTCTTGCCGTTCTCGTTCCTCCTATGTGCAGCATCGAGAGCTAGGTTACGGTGACATGCGGCCATGGGATCAAAAATCCTGATGTCGAAGAAAGCTCGCTGTCCCCGCGTCCAGAATCCTCGAGCACTGACGTCCACCGGGCTTCGTTACTATTACTACTACTACTACTACTACTACTACTACTACTACTACTAATAATAATAATAATAATAAATTCATTAAAACCTCGTATTATATTTACCAGCCTCTGAGTGACAACACAAACATTAGAGACGAGTCTTTAAGGTTTCAGTAAATACTAAACAGATGCCAGCGACCCCTTACCATTAACCACCTCTTCTGCAGGATCAAAAGCTCACTACCTCCTTCTTCTGCGCCCCCTGCACCACCTCCCTCATTCTCTACTCTGTCGTCTTCTCTCACGCCTCTCTCTCCAGCCAGTAAATCCTCACACCATTTGGCAGGGCGGCGTGGATCACTGAGATGGCCTCAATGAGTTTTGCTAATTACTTCTCTGAAATTTCACCAACCACTCAAGCTTTCCGTCGTGCCAGAAGCATAATGGTCGTCATTAATCGAGGATGTGGACTGATGATTCCTCCGTCTGTCTCTCTGTCTCCTTCTCTGTCTCTCATTATTTCCCTCTTTCTCTTCACCACAGAATGACTAGTCCGTCTCTCCTGGTATTTTGGCAGGAGATTGTTAATGGTACACGTTAATAATTCATATCTCTCTCTCTCTCTCTCTCTCTCACTTCGTCTTTGTCCTCAGTTCAGCTCCAGTCCCCGTGTAGTGGTGGACTGATCGCACTTAAGCTAATTACTCATTACTGGTGGCGGTGTCCCAGCCGTCTTTCTTCCCGCTCTCAACCTCTTTCACTTTGCATATCAATTACCTCCACCTGCACAACACTCATCTTTTATCGCTCCGGCCATCATCAACCTTACTCTCTCTCCATCCACACACACACACTTAACTGAATCTCACTTCCAAGTTGAATTCTAATCTGAAGGATATTATGTAGATAAATACAAATATTACAACACTTAATTCTTCAAAATTGTCAAAAAAGAAAACACAAAAATGGTAGTTTCAGCTCAGGTCTGTCTGTCTCCCAACACTCTAACTTAGAGTTACTTGAAGTAATTGTATCCAACCTCATCAATTAGTACTCGTGAGTCCCCTTAGAGCCATGGATAGTAACTTATATCATTCACTCTATATAAGTTAAAGGCACAAAGGATTATTTCAACAGATCCTCTTAAGTTTTTGTTCTGATCAGATACTGGTCTTCAATCACGTGCGACATAATGGCCTTCAGACTTCTAGATTAGACTAATTTAGCGTCGTCTGTGAGCCTCTAAACTTTCTTCTCCATTTCTCCTTTGGTTACGATCGATCAAAGCTCAAGATTAACGACATAGTTAGTTCTCTTGGTGACAGAAGGATAGGAGTAGCAAACTATTTTCAGGTTCTTGTGTCTGGTTACCATAGTGTAGGAATGTGGGGAGTGAGAGGCGGGTAGGTTGTTCCCTCACAACCTGGAAATATCAACAAACCTCGGTAATTGGAGCAACTTTCTCTTCTCTATAGTTAGGTGAAAACTGGAGTTAATAAGATGGTGTAGCTAAAGTAGACTGTTGCCGAGGCACCATAACACGACTGTCACTGGGTTATATATGGGTAGTGAGGATAATGAACAGCCAGACTACCGAAAAGTTGGATAAAGTTTTATTGAAGCACGTTCAGGTGAGCTACAATGTATTGTAGGTGGTGCTTCCATATGAGGGTGGGGGGAGAGGTGGGGGGATTGGTCCACCTGGGGGTCTCCCGTGGGGGACTGGGGAAGGTGGTGCCCTGGGAGGTGCTGGGAGGGGAGATGAGACTGCTGCTGCAAGGATGAGTAATCTTGAGCAGGAGAGTGAACCTGAGATGCCAGACGCGACAGTGTACCCGTGTAGGGACGTGTACCCGTGTGTGTGTGTGTCCCCCCGTGTGTACGTGGGTGTGAGTGTGTCGCCGTGTGTGGGAGAGTGGCAGTGTGTGGAATAGGATTGATGTGTGGGAGGGAGTCAGTATGTAGGAGGGTGGAATTACGAGGGAGAGTGGAGGTGATTTGCGCGATGCCGGCGTTGTGGGGAGGAGTGCCGGTACGGGTTACGGGCGATGACCGACCCGGGGAGTCTGAGCGTTTAGGCGCACCACCGTACTTCTGAAGGCCAGGACGTGGCAGCGTTGACGTATGCAAATGGGAGGAAGTATGAGCAACGTCACCAGTGTGGGACTGTGAGGTCGGGACACCCTGGGATGTGTTCTGGGGCAGAGTGGCAGTGTGAGCTTGAGGAGTGAGTGTTATCTGTGGTATAGTGTGAGGGAGAGTGACAGTGTGAACCTGGGGGTGAAGATGCTGTTGGGTGACGGCATCGTAAGGCTGGGGTGAGAGGCGTGACTGTGTCGAGGGATGAACATGTTGGGGTGCTACTGAGAATGACTGGGGTGACAGATGAACTTGGGACGTAGCGTGGAGCTGGGGAGGGTCAGGATGGACTTCCCCCTGAGGACTCGCAAGAGGATGATGAAGTGGGTCAGCCTGGGGTTCTGGCTGTTTCTGCTGCAGGGGTTCACGATGAATAGACAAACGCGGAGGAGACTCGCGGCGGAGCTTGAACGCCTCAGCCTGCAAACTGAGACGCGACATCCTGGTGGGGGACTGAATCTCTACTCTGGGGGTGGTGATGTCATCAGCCTCCACCTCCACTACGTGTACAGGACCCCCGCGGCAAGAGGCGCTTCTGGGGCGCATCCCCCTGGGAGAGGTTCCCCCAGGAGCGCTGCGGGTGGAGGATTTCCGTAGGAGTGGAGAAGGTCTCTTGGAGGACCTGGCTGACGTCACCTGCGTCACTACCACGGGTCCCGGCGCGAACGTCGTCAGCAGGTCTG